GAGAAATTGGTTTAATGACACTACTCACCCAAGGTTATCTTACCGAAACGAAAACCAAACATAAGTAAAAGTACTCAAGGAGCACAATGACCAAACAACAGTGAAAAGTAGATAACCATGCATGATTTATTTATTGATTGGTTTAGTCTGATTGAAGTAGGGGGATAGACACGACGACTGAAACATCAACAACAGTACAAAGGGACACCAGAAAAACTAATACACGAAGAACATTGATGTAATAAAAGCCAATATAGCGAATGTAGGGTCATCTGAGTCACTATAGGAGGCAGAATGGAGGTGTAAGGTTAGAAACCGCCAAATGAGTTTTCTCCACTGTAGTGCGCATAGAGAAAGCCGTCATCACTCTTACGCTCGTTGTAGAGTTGGCCCATGGTCCAGCTGAGAGGAGGGAAGGAGAGAAGCAAACCTAGGCTTCAGTAGTGGTGATGTCCGATGTTCCAGCTCAGAAATCCAATGCACAACTGACCGCTATTTTAACATTGCGCTATCCTAGAATCTAGGCGTGGCTACTTTGTGATGCTCTGCCTTCAGAATTGGCCACATTCCCACAAACTAAAACTATCCTTATTTCCAAGGCCATCAGAAAGCGATCCCCAATTATTACCACTTTACTCTCCTTCTAGTAGGGCTTCAGACATGTAGCATACAAACTGTTTTCAAACCTCCCAACACCACAAAACACATTAGATATTATCCTCGCACAACCAAATGAATGGAAGGATGTTTGTGAGCGAAAAAAAGGGATGCGATTTAAAGCGCTGTTTACTTGTCCAAATTCGAGGTGAGAACTTGAGTACCATGAAGGGCCATTGAAAAAAAAAAAACATCAACTCAACTCAGTTATTTGATAACAGAAATTTACATGGAATGCACCTAATATTCAAGTCAAGTAGAAGTGAATTGACATTAGGCTCAGGAATAAGAGATTGAACCAAAAGAGGTTGAAACAAGATTGATAACAATGGGAAAACACGTAACTAATGAATTCACAGTATTCCTAAGGAGACCAGCGATTAAGGTGACGGTGAGCCGAATTGATGATAGTCTCCATTCTAACGACATGTAGGGAGAGCAACTATTTTCAAGACGCGTTCCATTGCATTGTGTAAACAAGAAGCACAGATGCTAAATGGTCTCGACCCATATCACAACATCGTTGGCCAAAGTGAAAAAACTAATAAAAACAATTTTAGTTTAATAAAATGTAGTCAACTCCGATCCATGGCTACCTCAAGCATAAAAGAAACAGAAACAAAGATGTAGTGAAACCGATAATTCACGAGAAGGAAAATTGGATGACGGAACAAGGGGACACAGGACCGCTATCTCAATTAGCAGATGGTGCGCCACACGCGATGTAATTTTTTGAATGTTTTGAAACCACGGAACCTGAAAACACTACTCCTCAAGGTTCAATATGCTATTAACGCTCGAAGTCCGTGCAACAGCACGTAAATACCCACAAGTGACGATTCAATGAGAGAGGCAACAAGCTCGCGAACAAATCAAGGGTTTAATTATGTCGAGATTGAAGCAGTTACTCCTAATTTTATGTATCAAACT